TTCTGCAGCTCCCTCCGCCCCAGTCATGCCCAGCTCTACCAGCTCCCCTCCTCCCCAGCCACACCCAGCTCTGCCAGCTCCCCCCGCTCCAGCCACACCCAGCTCTGCCAGCTCCCTCCGTCCCAGTCATACCTAGCTCTGCCAGCTCCCTCCGCTTGTCCCCAATTCCTGCCACTACTTTTGTGGTGAAGGTCCTGAAATATCTGACCAAAGACCAAAACACATACATCCAGCCACAGGTTTATGAGGTTGCAATTAATCTAGACACATATGATGAAGAGAAAAATTTTGCCAGAGTTATGAGATATTGTGCTGAATGAATTTGAAGGCAGGATAAACTGATTTATTTCCAAGGTGCTCATACCTTTGGTTTCTTATTTCCTCTCTTGAAGGAGAGAACAGGGATGGATTTATGAGGACAAATGACAATGGTTGGTCCTGATACCCTAACTGTAGTGTAGAGTGAATCCTCTCCTTTTCAGTGCAGGGTAAGCACAATTCCACTAATCTGTGCTAATGCTACTTGCAAAGGGAAAAACTGTCACATTAGGCATAGTGTTGCAAAGATTTCTGAAATCACACTATCACTATGCCAACAGGGCAGAAATTGAACAGTTTTGTTTAGTGGCTTTTGGGATTTTGATGTAACACAGCATAACAGTAGTAGCCTTGCACTTAATTATGCAGATAATTCCTTGCTGTTAGTACTGCTAGAAATTAGAGCGCAGAACAGCAGCAGTAGTGACATGCTGACACTAGACATAACAGGGGCCCTCTTGGTGTTGCTTAGCTAACACTAAGTGGCCCTGTAGCATATTTTATTCATGGTGTAGGATCCCACCACTTCAAATACCTTATGAAGTCAGTTAATGACAATTTGACTTTAGACAATACTTTTGGTTCTAATTTTTTATATCATTAGGTCAAGAGTTGACATATAACTCAGGGCAAAAGGTAATAATCTGTGTGATTGTACAAAGCTGGTCAATTCTTGGCAGCTCATTGATTGTTGCCAAGAATTGACCAACTTTGTACAAGCACACAGATTGAGATGTCTTGACTTGTCTTTTTTGTCACAATCAGAAACAGGATGCATAAAAAATATGAATTTGCAGGGAGAAAGATAATTTTATGTCAACCTTCCTGAATTCACCTTCCTAATTTCTCCTTGAAATATGAATCAGTCCATGTTTGGCAGCTTCATAAATTCAAGCGTAATATTGCCTTATAAATTCAATGTAAAATAAACCACTCAGAAATATGTAATAAAATTTTGACTGGGGCAAGTTCAAGTACTGATTTCAATTTTAGAACAGAAAAATTTGAGATAATGGGCAATCTTCAGCACCATAATTCAAATATTACACTCTTTACCCATATAAAGTGTAATATCAATATTATGGGGCTCAAGATGGCCTAAGATATCAAGTTTGTTCTCAGGATTGATGAAACCAGTAATTGAACTTGCCTGAGAAACAATTTTGAAATATTTTTTGCATTGGTTTATTTTTTATTGTATTAATCAAGCAATTTATGGCACTGCCAAACCTGACCTCAACTATATACCAAGATGCATTTTGAGAATAAAATTTGGTTGGCCAAAAATAGGTATTGTTGGCCAGCCCCAAAAGGTTAGGCAAAGTTGACTACATTGATGCATAAAAAGAAAAATTTGAATGATTTTTTGCTGGGATTATGTAAGATGGTTTGAGCCAGTAGTTGTTTATGGATTTATGTTTCAGATTTGAAAACCACTAGTAATTATAAACTCATGGCCAATAGGCATTAGGAGTGGTCAAAATTCATCTTCAGAGTCATGTTTGAGAGTTTTTGGATCAAACTTTTTGGGATTTACAGAAAGTTCAGAAATTAACTCAATCTGAGAAACCCACATAGATTATGAATTGATTCTCATAAGAATTTCAAAAATGGCTCTAAAACAATTGAATTTTTAATCCCCCTAATGTATACTTTTCTCTTTGTTATCTAGTTTCAATAACATGAGATCTTAAATTTTTGTGGAGGGCCTCATCAAATGACTGACATGATTTTTGGATAAGATTTGAAGGTGAACATCATAGATAATGAGAACTAAACTGGCAAGAAGAATCCATAAATGGGTTGATAGATATGATGTTTTACTCATGGTATTTGAAAAGGATCCACTAAGAGAATATAAAGATTCTATTGAAAAAAAACTATGTGATATTCTTGCAGGTTTTTCAATTTTGTTCGTGAATAATAAAGTCCTGTTCTTGGGCAAAAATCTCCTCTTCATGTTGATCCTCTTCACTGTCAAACTCCATCACTACAGACTGACCAGAAACAAGTCTCTCCCATGTCTGCCTACATCTATTTATTATTAAATCCCACTGATATTCAGGTGTTTCTTCGGTTTCTTGATGATAATCAAGATAGTTCTTACTCCATCTCATGAGTTTCCAAATGTGACAGTTCCATGAGAGCCAAAGACGGCAGTGCTTTTTGGCAATATTGGTGAAGACTGACTGGACAACTGCTTTGGGACAGTTGAATTCGGAGCAGGTATTCTTGACCTGTTGTTGGCTTTCTGTAAGGACATCAGTTTCTTGAGGTTCTGGAAAATTTCAACCAATTCAATTTAAATTCATCTCTATTTATAAATGGTGTTCTCAAAAACTTACCGGCTTGTAATGATTGAAGCAGCTGATCCATTTTTATTGATTTTTCAATGGCCCATGTCACTGTCTGTCTGGCCTCCCGAGCAATACGTCGTAATTCGTCCTGGCAGTGTGTTACTGTGAGGTACGCCTGAATGCCTTTTTGGGTGTTCACGTCCACAGCCCAGGGCTCGCTTGGATGATCCAGTCGGCTGGTGCTCCAAAAAAAATTGTCGATCCCAAAAGCTTTCACGTCATCAAAAGAGGGGGTTTCCAATGGTACTTCTGGTGAAAAATCACTGTTGAAAGAGGTCGCCCGATTATTGTATGAAATCCATTTCTTCTTGAACATATTCATCTTGGAATTCATTTGTTTCTTAAACCGATGTTGCACTCGAGTCCCTGTGTAAAAAAAAAATAGAGGTAGGTATACCTTGCAATGGAAGATTCAATGTGTAAACCATACCTGATCTGGGTTGGTCCCACCTCTTCTGCATCTCAATAACACCCACTTTGGCTTCATAAAGCTTGGATTTGCTGATTTTGATTTTTATTAAAGCTTTAATTTCAGCTTCTACATGCATTAAACAAAATCAATTTGGATTCATTATGTATGCCTGTCTGTGGAAATAAGACACACCTGAACCTCCTTGTAAATTTTGAAAGTAATCAGTTCCAAGTTCATCCAGAATACTTTCAATCTCTCCTTCTAACATGACCAATGTATCAGGAAGTTGTTGTAGGTGCCGGTTCTGAGCGTCAGTCCTATTTCTCCTTCGAGTGTTGCGAAGTTCAATCATTTCTTGACTATATCAATAATTCCAAATAGGAATTCAATGGATTAAGGTGACAACATCATTACACCACTAGCATGAATAAAAATAAAACTGACTGTGTTTCTCGAAGTTTATCTTCCAACAGGACCAACTCTTCAACTTGTTCCCTGGTCTCCTTTTCTGTGGCAGTCTCAATTGTAGAAAGTTGAATTTCCCTTTGTCGCTCCCATTGAATCTTGAAATGGTTCCATTGCAGCCCTGACTGTTCTTCAAGAGCTCTTAATATATCCTGGGAATCTTTCATTACTTGCTCGACATGTTTTCCTCGGTCTAACAAGTAGCAAACTGCAAGGTTTTACACATTAATTTGAAATCATTTTTTATGATCAAAATATTGAAACCATACCTGTATTAATCTTTCCCATATCATTGTGATGGTTCATCCGGATATTTAGTGCAACAAGACGATGGTTTTTGGTAGAGTATCGAAGTGGACTGATTAAAGGTGATAAGAACGACCAGATCCTCTCCAATCCCTCGCCATCAGACATCCCCCAACCTTGATTCAATCTGGGATTATATCGTAGCTGGCAAGACCATTCGTGAACATATGCGTGGAATACACTGGTCCCAAATTTTAAAAGATTCAATTCTCGTTCTTCCGGAAATTGATGACGCTTGTCAAAATTGTTTAAATCAGTCCGTGTGTTTTGTTGCAAAGTATTATTGAAAGGTTCAATGCATACCCTTATGATTCCCTTCTCAATATTGCAACCAATATCGTACAGGATCCCCAACCGTTTAAGTTCTCCTTCGTTTTTTGTTTTTTGGATAAGATTATCAATCATGGTCATGGGATAAATTGCTCTGGTTGTATGTTAGGTAATTTAATTAAATTTCGATATGACAGAAAAAAAGAAATCCTCAAAAAATACACACTTCTCACCACTCTTGACAATATTAATCATCTGTAACATCTGATCATGCCTACATGCCATACCAAACAAGCCGGTGTCATCACACTCATTCCAGGTTCTCCCGGATCTGGCATCATCGGCTGCAGTGTGCTGCTGAGTACATCGGTCCTGGGTTTTCATTATGTTGAGAAATCATTCAATCTTCTGATATCACAGTTATTTTACAATTTGGACTCACCACGTCACCCTCAATAGCATTGTGCAATGCCGGATTCATTGACAATTCCATCTGGGCCACTTCATCTGGTTTTATGAAGAGACTAGGTGTCTTGAGCATTCCTGGGACTTCGACACTTGCTGCTTCATGCCTCCTATGCTGGAAGTTTCCATCCATGCATACAATATAATTAGGTTCATCTGTTCTTGTACCGGGAACTTGAGGTCCGTAGCAAGGTGGACATATGTCAGCCATCTTATCAATTGGGTTCATGGATAGGAGGGATTCCGATAGCAACTCTTCTCTTCTCAACATTTCCCTGAAAGCATCGACTGCTGATGAAAGAGTTCTTCGCCATTGGCGCGGCTGGACAAGCACATTTATCAATTATCCACTCATGACAGATTGGTTAAAAAATTTCTTACAGTGAATGCATAATCAGATTCGTTGTTATTACTTGGAACCAATATCAAAGGATTGTGTGCATCCAAAAACTCATCAACAGCTCGTGAGAATGGAGAGATGGGCACTGCACTATGTTTCCACATGATGTGGTGAAGTCTGAGGAGCCTAATGGAGAAAGCAGTCTTGGGATATTTGGGGGAGCCTCCGATGTAGCCCATCTGAATAAGCCGAACTTGGTCGTGTTGGCATTGACAAAAATCAACTTGAGACTGCTTTCGGGCTAATAAATTCAAATTCGAAAGAATGAAATCAGTCTCAAGTGATTTGTTATAAAGAGGAAATGAACAGACAACATACTTAAAATATCTACAAGGACAATTTCCCTCCTCCGATGAGCATGACACTCACAATGGGATTTCCAGTCATGATCCCATTTTTCGAGATCACCCCATGTTGATGTCTTAGTGGAACACTGAAAGAAACTAGAAAACATTGATTCATATACCTCCTCCCAATTTTTCTCCTCTAATTCTTTCCTGCGCCTATAGTTTTGGCTCTGAAGGTATTCTGCAAGCCTTTGTACTTGAGGATCGATGGGTTCAGGTTCTTCTTCAGGGTTCGTTTGTTGCATATCAATGTTTGTGGAAAGGTCCGGTGGATTGTCATGGTCTAGGTTTGTGTGCTGAGTTGGAGTGACCAATTGGCCACTAGGAAGTTGGTTGTTGGCTTGAAGAAACTGTTGACTGGATCGATTGGTCTCATTCAGAAAAATCGCTCCCTTGTTTGTCTTGGGTCGTTTGATTTTGGGTGGCTTCTTACCACCCTCCCCTCTGAATCCTCTCATCAAATCGGTTTTGAATAGGTTGATCCTATTTGCATCATTCCATTGATAATCAAAAGTTTTGAAATGTTAAATCAATATTGTTATAATCTACAACAGCATCAGGCAACAGTCATAGTTGGATATTCCTAACAAGCCGATAAGGATAACTGACCAAGCCTCTATGTAAAACCAGCCTCTATGGAAACCGACCGAGCCTCTGAAAAACGGACCAATCCACAATGGAAAACCAACTGAGCCTCTATGGAAAAACAGACAGAGCCTCTTTGTAAAGCCCAAACCAGCCTCTGGAAAAACAGACCGATCCTCTATGTAAAAACTGACCAAGCCTCTGTGTAAAAACCGACCAAGCCTCTGGAAAAACGGACCTATCCTCTATGGAAAAACAGACGGAGCCTCTTTGTAAAACCCAACAGAGCCTCTGGGAGAACAGACCAATCCTCTATGTAAAAACTGACGGAGTCTCTGTATAAAAACCGACTGCCTCTGGAAAAACGGACCGATCCTGTATCGGAAAACCAACTGAGCCTCTATGGAAATACCAACGGAGCCTCTTTGTAAAACCCAACAGACCCTCTGGAAAAACAGACCGATCCTCTATGTAAAAACTGACGAGCCTCTGTGTAAAAACCGACTGCCTCTGGAAAAACGGACCGATCCTGTATGGATAACTGACTGAGCCTCTGTGGAAAGACAGACAGAGCCTCTGGAAAAACTGACCGATTGTCTATGTAAAAACTGACCGAGTATCTGTGTAAAAACCACCAAGCCTCTGGAAAAACGGACCGATCCTCTATGGAAAACCAACTGAGCCTCTATGGAAAAACCGACGGAGCCTCTTTGTAAAACCCAACAGACCCTCTGGAAAAACAGACCGATCCTCTATGTAAAAACTGACCGAGCCCCTGTGTAAAAACCGACCGCCTCTGGAAAAACGGACCTCCTCTATGGAAAACCAACTGAGCCTCTATGGAAAGACAGACAGAGCCTCTTTGTAAAACCCAAACCAGCCTCTGGAAAAACGGACAGATCCTCTATGTAAAAACCGACCCTGAAGTTCAAGTCACCCCTATTGTGATTAATATGCATGTGAACTCATTATACATATGTCTAGAGATAAAAAGACAGATGACTCACTTTGATCAAATTTGTTTATTAGTTCACCTTGGGCTTTAAGACTGTGTTGGTCGGGTCGAAGGTATCACTAACAGTGTGTTGGTCTGGTAGATGTGTTGGTCGGGTCGATGTGTTGGTCTGGTCTGGATGTGTTGGTCTGGTCAATGTGTTGGTCTGGTCGAGGTTATCACTAACAGTGTTTTGGTCTGGTAGAAGTTATCACTAACAGTGTGTTGTTCCGGTCAAAGTTCTTATTATCTCACATTTGTGCAATACAATTTTGACTTTGAATTGTACAACTTGTGCATGTGGATACCCCACCCGGATCTTGAGTCCTTGACATGAGTCAGTTGTCCCAATCAGTGTGCAACACCAGTGCTTGACCACACCTCTCCTGCAAAAAAGCTGATTGTTCACTTGTAATATTCATGCTACAAACATGTAATATGCATCTAAAGACTCTAAATCAAATGAGTAACAAGAAAATATGAAGTATCTACATGTCATTAAGAAGCCTCAAAAAGTTATTTCAAGTAGTTATATGCAATTTGTTGCGATCCAATACTTATTTTCTTTCAACAGGTGTGGTAGTATCTTTTGATATACCTTAAATGTACCATGAATACTACAAGTAAACATTCCGCTCAAATTTGTTTTCTTTTTGCAGGAGAGGTGTGGTCAAGAACTCTTGTTGCACACTGTTCAGGGGCCCAACCCACATTGACCAGTAGGGTTATCTGTGTTTGATGGGAATACTATGCTGTGTCTTTCCTGATATATGCCACAAGATCTATGTCATCCATCTTGAATATCTCCTTGATCATTTTGATCCTGATGTCTCCAAATGCCTGATCAGTTGCCAGGCAATAAAGAGTGTTGGCAAAAACCATCCCAAGGATCAGTGATGGTTCAGGAGTTTTCCACTACCTGTTTATTGTATTCATTGGGATGCTATGTTCAGGAAGGGTTTTTGTCTCAGGCGTTATCCAGAAGGAATGAATGCTCAGGGAATGAAGTCCATAGGTAAGAGGGCCTCATATTTGTATCTAACCTGACTCAGTCACATCATGGATGTGTGTTGCTTGAACATTTGGTGTCAATATATATAACACCCTTGACACACCTTTGAACTGTGTTGCTCCCAACATGAGAACAGTGGAATTACCTCCTCAATGAACCAAAACCATGTTACCATGTCAGTGTTTAAAATATATCACAAATGAATTTTAAATGACAGATGATTTAAATATGTTCAGTGTAGTCTTCAACTGAGCAATTGTTAAAAGGTTTACTTCCAGGCACCCTCAGATTTGGCTTTTTGGTCATTTGCCAAACCACATGACAAGTAATTGGACCCAACGAAGTTAATTATAAAAAATGCTAAATACTGCCCACTGTTCATGGAAATGCTATTCAATGGGGTCCCCTGTTGAATATTCAAAACAATTTACATAGGTGTGTGGCCATTGGGCCCCAAGTTGGATTACCAAAAGTCCAATATTTACAGTGATGTTTTTATGCAACCATTCACAGTCCATACACCAGGGTGGATCTATTCTCCCATGATTTAATCAAACCAATAGTAGGGTACTATCAGAACTCACTACTGGCCCAAATCCAAACATGTTTCATGGTTATCACTTTTTTGAGGTCATTACAGTGTCAATTATTTATGATTAATACCAGAACAAATTCTTCAATTTGATTTGATTTTCCTAGTGTCAATCCAATCAATGTGTGCATGTGATTAACTTAGTGATTGGAAAATATTTCCAGTTTATGTTTAATTATTCAATATGTGTGGCCACAGGCTTCCCTAGGAGAAAGTCTAGGTTACTTCTGAAATGCCAGTTGCATACTTCATAGGGAACAAAAATTTAACTTCTCTCAAGTCATCTTACCAAAGTCATTTCCAGTCATTACCATAAGAGTGCAGACTGGCTGGGTCAGGTCTCTCCACCTTGTGTCAAGTTATGTATAGAAGGCAAAAAAGACGCATTCTATACATTCAGTGAGGACTTAATGGTTGAAAAAATCACATGGGACTCACCGAATTTGCTTGTTGGTCATTTGATTGACCACATGACAAGTAATTGGATGCAATTAAATCAATGGCAAAAAATAAGCAATCCTGTGAACAGTTCATGATACTGCTATCCACGGGGACCCCCAGTTGAATAGCCCCAACAAATGACACAAATGGCTGCCCTGCCATTTGGGCCTGCATTTGGATTACCCAACCTAGTACATTTCCAGTGATGTTTACTGCTCTCTGATGGAGCACTAGCAACATTTTATACTATTCACCATTGGGCTTTGGGTGTATTATGAAACATTCATACTAATGTGCTTATGAGTTCAAACAAATTCCATTTGTGTCAGATTCTGCATAGAAGGCAGAATAATTTATATTCACACATACACAATGATTTATATGTGGCACACACAATTCTTCAGCCCATAATTAATGGTGATCAGGCAGTTGAACATAACAGGACTAGTATGATTCGGATTGATTATCTGTATCCATTCCTACACAGCCATTGTATTTACATTTACTGGTTCAGTTGGGCAGGTGTAAAATGTCAAGTGCAACAACCTTCTGCTTTAAACTTTCATCATAAACATCATAAATGGGAATTTTAATTCAGTTCTTTCCTACTGTTTTACTTTGGGAATTTCTGTCACAACTTGATGGCACCATTCAATTGGCCTTGATTTTTGTAACAATAACCAATCAGTTTCTGGAATCCAGCCCCAGTGGCCAAATAGATAAATGTTGAACAGACTATGTAAGTTATTCCTCCTGTGTTTTCAAGATACCTGGCCTGAATTGGGTGATTAAATCTGAATCAGGCATTGTCAGTCAGCCTGTTTCAGTCTAAGACCCCCTTGTTTCATTTATGATGATCCAGGTGTGAGTACACAGCTTGGGAAACTCAAGGGGTTCCCACTCACTGAGCAACCAAAATCTCACCAGATCCAAACACTTGCACTATGGGGGGCAAGGCTTAGCAAATTTAACCTCACTGGGTTGGCCAACTTAGTGCATGTCCCCACTTTCAGTGGGCTGGAGATAATTGCTGCCCAGGGGCCCAGAGCCTGGCCCAGGGACTTAGCTAAAGCTTGCTGGGGCTAAGTGTCCTGGGCCACTCACTCAAACCAATTGAATCGCACCAGTGTGGCAGTGGCACACTGTACATTCTTCAACCTTCTCAAAAGCACCTGAACTCCACCATACATTCTTCAACCTTCTCAACTTCAAATGAAACAATAAAACGATCTCAATCAACCACCCATTGACCTGTAAGTGCCCCTTCACCACACATTCCGTAATTAGCTATGTACATCTCCAGGTATAACCCACCCGCACAGATTCTGGCACTGCAGCCCCCACAACCCAGGCACTCCGCCAACCAAACCAACTGGCGCAGCCCATGGATCAAACTGGTGGACAGAGGTGAACAAGCATGTGAGATCACAGGATCCTGCTATGGGACACAGTTCCACTTCCTCTCTTTCTCCAGACCTACCGCGATCCTCACCAGCTTTGATCATTCAGCCAACACCGACAACCCTCCACCAACTGAGTCACCAATCCCAGCCGACCCAAGTGGAGGCAAGCTAATCTACTGATCATCATAGAATTGAACTTGAAACTGATGCGTGTAATTCCCACCAGGTATCTCAATCTGCCAATGCCCCTACTCCTCTTCCCAAAAACAAGCCAAGCCCCACCGCCGATCAACCATCATCACCAGTAGGAAATCAAAAACCAGCCAGAAGGATATATGTCCAAGGCATATTAGTCGTCCGTAATGTCAATGAGCCTCCGATCAACTCTGCAACCCCGGTGGATCCCATTCAGCCTCATCCTCAGCCACCACCACAATCACATTGATCCTGACTCGTCCGATAATCAACTTACTTACACATCTTGACACACACACACACTTACAGGACTCTTACAGTCTGATCTATCACACACCACACCACCCTATCATTGAAGAAAAGCGAGCACCTCTGGCTCCCACCGAAGGTATCATCAGTCCTCCTCCTGTCGTCGTCAGTCAGCAAAATCTTTTAGAATGGATCGATGGGATCCGTGGCCTTGCCTCCTTGGTCATCTTCACTCATAACTTCAGTGATCTCACCTGGGCTCAATCTCATCCCGAGGTCCTCCCTCTCGGTAGTATCTACGGCTTGTTTCGGAACGGACAGTTGGCAGTCGGCATGTATTTCTTCCTGGGTGGTCGAGTGCTCGCCCACTCTTTCCTGCGATCCGCTTTCACCCGACCCATGGTCCCCAAGGACTCTCACGGTGTCCCCATCCCCGGCGGTAAGGCTGCCAGATGGACCGGTCCCCGTTGGCTATCTCTTTCGTCTTCCTTGTTCCGTCGATCCATCCGTCTGGCTTTCCCGGCCATCATCGTTGCGCTGATCCAATGGAGGATCGCTTCTCAAGGCATGCTCGGCGACCGACCGATCAGAGCTGCCCAGATTCTTACCCCTACCGCCCTATGGGAGCCAATGTGGAACCAGATAGGAAACCTTGGAGGCTTGCTTCAGTTCTGTCTCGACTTGTTTACCAACCGCGGCCACCAGTACATGCTCAGTGTCGGATCGGCACTCTGGACAACTTATGACCAATTCTGGGGCTCTGTCCTCGTTTACATCCTGGCCGCTTCGGTCGCTCAAGTCGGATGGGTCGGCCGATATCTGATCTACTCGGCTGTCTGCGGTTCTCTCTGGTTGATCAACAGCCCCAACATGCTCTATGTGCTCGGTCTCTGGCTCGCTGATCTCCACGCTGCCGGCTTCATTCGGAAACTTCACCTTTTGATAGCCAACATGATCGCAAACGAGACCCTCCCAATAGTCACCGAAAAAGCTCTCGGGGGTGGAATCCAAGCCATCATCATCTCCACCGTGTTGGTGATTGTGTTCAGCGGTTAGTTTATCATAGATACTCTTAGGCATCTCACGGTTGATAGAAACAGCTCAACTGATTTGTTTTCATACTTTGCACAGAGATCATACCGCAGACAGTCTGCGCGACCTACGCACTTTGGATAGGTGCATTCTGCGCCAAACCAGTCCAGATCCTCATCTACCTTTTTTACCCTATAGTCTGGCCCATCTCTCGGTTATTGACTAAGCTGATAGGGGAACACTCGGGGGTCATCTACCGGCCCTCCGAGCTGAAGGAACTCGTCAATCTCCATGCGCGCAAATCTGAGCACGGGGGCGATCTGGCCGAGGATGTAGTGACGATCATCGGCTCGGCAATCGACCTACAAGAACGCGTCGTCCAAGACTTGATGAACGCACTCGACCATTGTTTCATGCTCAACATTGATACTCAGTTGAACTACAAGACTATGTCCGCTATCCTGACCAGTGGCCACTCCCGAATTCCAGTATACGAAAACGTGATTACTCCTTCTGGTACCGGTCGTAAGATCGTTGGCGCTCTGTTGACCAAGCAATTGATCCTGATCGATCCCTCGCTCGTGGCTTACCCTCCCCTCGATCGAATAGTCTCTATCCTACTTCTCCCAAACATCTTGGCCCCCATTCACAGCAGAACTCTCGAAAGAACCGGTGGATTCAGTCCCATTCTTGACTCGCAACCAAATCAAGACCAGCATCGCATTGGGCCAGGTCTTGTGAGTCTTACCTCTAGCTCTTTTAACTCGCAAGCTTCTCTATCTGACAACTTGGGTTGCTTTCAATTGACAGAGTGCTTCATCGATCGTACGTTTACAAGCTCAATGCATGGCTCAACAAGCATCCAGGGGGCATTTATCGTCGGCAAAGTCGTACCCGAAGAATGGGAGGACAAAAAGGCGGGAGGCGGTTGGAAGCCTTTAAATCCACCCATCCAAATCGGGCTGTGGCCGATCCCTAGCATTGACGAGATCCAACCAGAACCTCTCAGGAAAAAACCGGAGCCAATCCTCCAAAAATCCGATCACTTGGCAATTCTCGATCACATCCTTGATCATAATTCACGCTCAATTCCCGATTATTCGAAGAACTTTCGTACCATCGATCACGTCACTTCATCAACAAGGCTAGACGAAATCCTGAGCGCCTTGGAACCAGCACCCGATCCTCCCCAGGAAGCATTCCAAGAAGGTTACGATCTATCACCAGCCAGATAAAAACACTTATCAAATTCTTATCGTGTTCTTCACGACAAAATACGCGCCCCTGGACTATACCGTGCTCCTCAACCGTTCTATGGTTATGGACCCGACCTGCTCAGATATTCTGTTCTGTTTCTAGCGTTCTTCTTGACTCATCCCACATTCCCCCTCTTGAAACGATATCTGGCAAGTTTTCTGCTCGACCCGACCGATGTTCCATTCGTCGAGACTCCTTCAACACTTCGCTGCTTCGTCTGCGCCGTTTTTCTTGGCCTTTGGTGGCACCAAATTACCTTCGTTGCTCATGATGCCGGACATTCGGGTATCACCGGAGATTGGTTGAAACACCGTTTGATTGGAATCCTCGATCTCTCCTCAAATGGTCCCAGTCTCTCACAACCAAGCCGGTTTCCCTAATGCAAGACCCACACATGTCCTAACTCCTTCCAACAGTAGTCATGCTGTTGATTCGATCATGACTGACGGTGAACCGTCTGGCAATCATCACCAACCTAATGGTCAGCCATATCCACAACGTGGATATGCTTCTCCACCCGAGATCCATCGGTGTGGCTCTCAACCCTATGAAAACTATCCCCCACCACCTCATGGCTATGAATATTCCGCACCACCAATGATCGCACAGGACCCTTCATATCTATGGCTCTCTCCTGGTCTTCCATCACCGTCTGATCCCAACCGCATCTCTGCCAACCCTCGTCACGCAACTACTAGCAATCAGCTCAAAGTGCGAAGCAGGACCCTGGCCTCAGTTTTCTCTGGATCTCAGTCCCTCAACCCAGTAACTATCATCAACCCCAACAGTCCTCCACCAGCCCGCCCGGTGCTCATGCCGGTGGTAGTCCCAACCTCGTCTTCGATCTCACTGGGACTACGTTGACTAACTCAGATATTCATTATCACCATCATCACCAACCCTCTATTGACATAATCTCATGAATGCTGACCAATGGTGTTTCCCTTTTTGCATAACAGTGAAACGTTACTGGATTTGAAACTGTACTCACTCCAAAGTAAGTCCTCTTTCTAATCAGCATAATTTTGCTTCATGTGATTGCTGGGATTGCATGGCTGCTGTGTGATGCCTGCTGAGCGCGAAGCTCAGCAGGCATCACATTGTGGGATTGATGTGGCCTTGGCGCGAAGACTTGGCCCCATTAATTCCTGGCCAGACAATCACTCAACATATGGTGGGCTAACCCATATTTGTTTTGTGTTAAGATGGATGGACCGGAGGTATTCAGTGTTGCTGGCCTCAAGAGAGGATCTGATTACGACGGTGACAGAAGCTTGAACTCCCAGGCCATCAACTTCTTAAATTCTCAGCACCAACAGTCATACCAGCGGGTGGTTGACTTCGATCTTCACGCAGTCTTCTTAATGCAAGAATTTCGAGCAGAAGATACCATTCAACAAATAATTACTATGATCAGCACCACTTTCAATGAAGAATACCCACCAAAAAACACCCTCCAACAGCAGTTGGTCAATGCAGCAAAATTAGTCAACCAAAGGATCCAAAACTACGAACAGCAACCTCACATGCAGAAGCCATTTTGCCTCAGGTTCCCAACTTACAGTGATGTTCTTAAGCATTGTATGGAGTTGCAGGATAAATGTGAGGTATTACCAAATGATAAAATGGTTATTCTAATTGATGAGGGGGGTGTATGTGTTGGAGTTGGACTTCCTCCAAAGCCCCAATCCACCCAGAGCATACATACCCCTCGAGATGTAAGTAATCTTTTGGAAAAATGTCTTTGGAGAATCCAGACTCACCTTGGTGTATGATTAGCGCCGGGCAACAGATAGACTAGATCAATTTGTTAATGATAATGTTCTTCAAAGCGTGGAGGCTCCAATGATCCAATCTGGCGAAATGTCTAATCAGTTTCCGACTTCCCAGTTCCCACTTTCCACCAAGAACAAAGGGGAGATAAGAGCCAGGCCGGAAGCCAAGAAATCAACTTGCTCTTTCCAAGCATATGGATTTGGGTTGGGCAGTGTGAGAAATGCTTCTTTAGTGTTTTTTCGATTCCAAAGCAATACTGACTTTGAATTTGCACTGAACCACTTACTTTCCACAAGCCGCTTTCGGCTGGAGCTGCAGACAAAACAATCAAGTTTGCCACCAATAGCATCAAGAAAATCGACCTACAAGGCCACGGGGACCATTGGAAATCCGATCCTAAGCCCAATCTTCCAGAACCACTCAGATCTGACCCTGGTCCTACAATGCGAGGCCTGGTGGAACTTCGACATGACATGGTCTTCTACCATAGAGATATCTTACTGGATAAATAAAGTATTTTTACCAGATGCATCTTCCATTGCAGAAAGCGCAGTGAAGTACTTGGAAAAGAAGGCATCAACCGCGGTGAAAGAGTCTATTCAGGTAGAAAAAAATATAATCATTGCAGGTAAGTATAAGAAGAATATCTATTTGACCTGAATATAATTCTGACTTTGAATTGAGCATTGAAAAGCCCGAACCATCACAGTCAATACCCATCCAAACACACATAGAGACCGAAACAATGCCCTGTTGATGGATAGTGTATTCTTCTTTGGAAATCATATCGGTGGACATTTCCTTCTCCCTGGGCTTGGTGTTGCATATCCAGGCTTGCACGGCTATTCCTTTCACGGTCCATTTCGCATTCTCTTCCATGGTGTTTCCCAGTTCCACTTCACAGAAGACATTACAGACCCGAGACGATATTCAGTTGCCATGTGGAGCCGAGCCTCCTCTTTTTCTGCAATTGCTCGATTTTCCGCACATGACAATGGAAATGAGGTATGATCAATCTAGATATTCAATCATGTATGTACTAAACTGACCATATTTTGTCTTGGATCAACAGAAGTTTAGCGATGATAAATATTGGCTCCCACTTTATCCTGAATACAACCCTAAAATTACTTCAGATCTTCTCAAAGCTGAAGTGAAAATTGCCAAGAAAGAAGCCAAGAAAGAATCCAAAAAGAGACAAAAAACCGAAAACTAGCTTTTATTTATTGGTGTCTACATATCTCTGTTCATCTTATCTCTGTGTGCCAATCTGTCGGATTTTTCTTAAGAAGAAAACAACTCATCAAATGAAAGAAATAAACAGTAGTTGGTAGTTTTTAATTAAAGGATTTGTAGTGACAATTCTTTGGAAATCGGTCTGAATTCCTCTTAGAAGAAATCAAATAGCAATGTGAAATACATAAACCTATTTAAGACTGCCCTTGAAGAATTTCCTTTTGATAAGTTCTCAACTACCTTGAAAAAAGCTGGGGAAAAATATAATAAGACTATGTTTATTCAGAGGTGTCTGAAACAAGGGTAAAAACACCATTCTTAATATCATCAAGCCACTTTTCCCGTACAGGATTACGCATATATTCTAACCCAATTGCTAACTCATCAACCTTCAGAGTTGAATTCTCTAACTGGACTATCTTAACAGCGGGATGTTCCTTCTCCAGCAGAGTCACCAGATCCTTTTGTTTGGGGAAAACTGGACCCTTTTTCTTGGGGGAAGGATCGTATTCAACTCCGAGTGCAAGACCTAAGAAAAGGAAATTATTAACCATGATAAATCAATTCAACTCATACCTTATAAATGACAGTACCCACATAGTAATTTATTGAGCTCCTGACGCAACTGAGTTCTTACAGTATCAGCATGTTTTGGTCGTTTGGCAGGCCTGTTGGTTTCAGCCGAAGATTCTTGAAGAACTTGTTGAATATTTCTTCCATGACTATACGCTTCAAAGTTCTCCTTGGCAAACCACTTCGACTTCGCAATTTGCAGCCAGGAGGGATCGTTTGACAACTCTTCACAGAAGCTTCCATTCCCGGGGAACCTGGTTGCTGACAACAAGTAAAATGTCAAGTTGTACAGGTTGGAAACAGTGAAAAGCTGAAAAGAAATCAATATTTTCAGATGTATAATCACCATTAATGCCAAACAGACTGTCCTTATTTACCTCGGAATTGATACGGATGATATGCTTGAGTGCTCTTTGTGAAACCACCGACGTATTATCAGGAGCTTGAGAATTACCTGCCAAGAACTCGACCTTTTCATGATTAACCAATCTTTGATAAAGAGGTCGATAGAGGGCCTCTTCCTCAGGAGTAAGAGATTCTTCTTCTTCTTCTTCCTCGGTATCATGGTTGTCCAGGGAAGTAGGTAGTTTTGAAAAGAAGCGAAAAATCTTTTCATCGAAAACATTTTTTTCATCGTCGGAGAGGGCAGCCCATGCCTGTCCAAGGTGGACATTTCTTTCTTCCCATCCCTCCGAACAACCTTTTGGAGGAACTAGAAATTGAGAATCAGGAAGATATTGGTCAGTGAAAACATTCAAAATGTGATGATGTACTAGTAATCTCACCTGGTGATAAGTTGAGCTTTCCATGCTGAAAGCTACATACCGATTCCATTGCTCTTTCTTCTGGTGGTTGATCTTCTCCCCTGAGTAGATTCAATCCGGTTGTCAGCTTTCTTGATAGTTGAAAATAAAGATAAAACTTACAACCAAGAGTTGACAGTCTTTTCAGAAACATTCCCAATCAGCGCCAGCATCAACTTAATCTTACAGTAGTTCTTTTTGTGGAATAACAGTGCCTCTTGTACTTCAGTAGGAATCCGGTTAGAAGTTCGAGTTTGCTTTCCTAAGACATCACGAAGTTGTTTATCGGTCCAAGACGACATGTGGTTTTCATAGTTCTCCAAAGTGAATGCAATCTCATCGGAATCGGAATGTTCTTCGTGGTCACTGGATTCCCGATCACTTGAACCTCTGCTGCTATCACCTCCAACACGACCTCCACGACCTCCACGACCGCCACGACCTCCACCACTGCCACGACTGCCACGACTTCCACGACTTCCACAACCGCCATGACCTATCCCATTAGTTTGTCTTCCTTCGGAGTTACTAGTTGATCGAGTTTCAGGCATGATTGATTGGAGTGATGCAGAAGGAAGTGAACTGATATAAGATGGGTTGTGTGTTTGAGTTAAGTTTGGTATGATTTTGGTGAGTTCAGTTCAGTTTGGCTCTGCTTCAAGTGGCTGTTAGGGTTTTCTATGGTTGTAGTTTCCGGTTTGCACACACACTTGAGGCACTGGCAGTGTGCACTCTTGAGGCACAGGCAGAGCGCGCACTTGAGGCACAGGCAGAGCGCACACTTGAGGCATTCCCACCCAGCCAAATTTCAAAGCAGTTGCCACCCACCACATGAAATAAAAAAATCATGTTATGTAAAAATCATTTCTGCAATTGCTGATGAAGAACACTATTTTTTGGACATGGTGGGTGATTTGCCTTTTGGGGATGCCTGATACTGTTTGTTGAATTTGGCTTTTTTTTTGAATCAAATTAATTTTGAGCTGGAAAGAAAAAATCAACTTGCCTCTGCCAATGGATTGATTGTTGTGTTTTGTTAAGACACCCCCATACACATAGAATGAGTATTGCTTGGACTGTGTGAATCACTTGAGGTGCAAAATTGAAATGTAGGTGCCAGTAGGCACACATGATGTGCATGTGCACCCAGCCTGCAGCCAGTGTAGTTAACATAGTTGGGTGGATGGTGATTTGAAGTTGTACAGTGGAAAGTGGCAGCCTATTTTGGATCCCAGAGATTCAAAAGAGAAACAAGATGAAAAGCAAAGTTTCACAATTTGTGAAAGAAAAAATAATTTTTTCCCAAAGCTTTGATATTCATTTTGGGGGAGGGAGAGTGCTGAGAGGAAAAAAGACTGCTACATAAGAAGAGGAATAATACATGAAATTTTTGGAAAAAATGATTTCTAGATGGCTTGAAACAGTCCACAATGAAGTAAAGCACTAGAATTTACTATTGTGACTCAAATCTGGACAACAAACCTGGCTCACCCTTTTTCGGTTCCAATGTTTTCAATTTATAATCAGTCTATCTATGTTCCATTGTTTCTTTCTTTCACAACTTCCATTTTCCCAAAATGTGGAGGCTTTTGAAAAAAGTCATTTTCATTCATTATTTGTCAC